TGTAGGTAAGACCGATTCGACAAAAAGGCCCTCAAAAAAGTAATATTATATTTATTCTCAATATTCTCCCCTATTTGTAACAGAACTGGTAGAAGCTAGATTTCCAAGAATGAGTTACAGTAAAAAATCCCATGACAACTAATGAGTGTTCACATTTGGGTCTCGCCGACTGTCGTTTTCAAAGTAATTTAAAACAATGATTCCTATTTTGAAATAATTTTCGCTACGCCTATGGATTAAAATAGATGAAATAGACAGGAAGACAGTTGTAAAGGGTCTGATCCCATGCAAGGAATAATGTATAGGAACAAATTAACCTTTTGGCATTACTTTACGCTGATAATGGACCAATTTTAGCGGGTTTGGGCAACCTTTGGCAAGCTATTGTTTCAGAAATTAGTTCTCCCAATAACTTTATGTATCAAAAAGAGTTTTTAGTAGGTATGCGATATTTCGAGTATTATGATTTTTTATTGGTATTAGTGAAAAAAAAAATTAAATAATTTTAAATTTCTAAAAATTATCACAGGTGTAATAAGTAAAAAATCAGTTAGTTAAAAGAGAACTGACAGAACATATTACTCTACAAATTTGAAAAAAAAAGATACCTGTTTTGATATATCACAGAAGCTTATCTACAGGAGAGGAACTGAATGAATAAACATAGACAAGAACGTATACATAGTAACTATTCTTCTTAGGTGAAGAATGTACGAGCCGCGACAATACACTGGCATCCGCGCAAAGAAGCACTGGCCTAAACTAATTCAAGAAACTAAATAGTTGTGTCTGTGTTAGGTTTATATTTATATTATGGACCTAATTAAATATTTACCGATATCAGTTCCTGGGAGGTAAACTGAACTATGTCGATATAATGCACTTTTATAGAGGTTATATTTTTTAAAATAAGTTCGGAAACACCCTGTATAAGCACTAGGGTGTTTCATTTAAAACGACACATGAAAATTTTGTTTTTTAGGTCGAAAAAAAAAATCCCTGAAAATTTGAGCCCTTAATTTGGATTCTAAGTAATTCCTTTTTAATTTTGTAGTTTTTCCATATAAAAAGCATGTATTTTTAACCTTTTTATTTTAAATTTCTATACTTAGGCCGGGTTTTGAATTATAATTTTTATCACCATAATTTCCTGCATAGTATTCACGGTTTTTGAAAGGCCCTGCATTAATTTTGTTTTTGATTTCTTTACGTTGATTGTAGTAGCTCCAAATGTCGTTTTTGCACTTTTTTTCACATATTTTTGAGAAAATCGAGCGAATGACTGGTTTTACCGAAAAAATTTAAAGGAAAAAGTTGTAGAATATTTAATTTTTGACAAAAAAGGTTCCCACGTTCATATCACTAAAGTCCTTTGTTTAAGAGCTATAAGCAATTTAATAACCAAAAACAAAGAAAAAATAGGTTTTATTGAAATTTATGTATATGTACTCTGATTCAACAACTATATATCAATTGATTACTTAAATTTAACACAATTAACATGCAATAAATCGACAATCGATGTCTTCTTTCGTCTCACTTCAAAATTTTTTTACTGTCTTGCTTATCGCGCCCCCTGGTTAGATACTTTAATTGCTTTATTCACCGTTTTGTTTGACCTTCAAAATTTTTAATTACCAGTAGAGTTGAATCGGCGCTAATTATCAGTTTGCATTGTTCTCTATCTATCAAACGTTGTGATTACGTTTGCCGACATCTAATCGAGTATTAAATAAAAACCGTTATCAACTATATTCAAAACTTTTTTTAAATCATTATTAATTGTCAATAATCGTTTCTAGTATTGTCTTAGTGTTTTCTTTATAATGTGATTGATTAATATCTTCAATTGTGCTATTAATGTGAAGTTCTAACCTAAAAAAACTGTTGTTTTCTGTTGTTTGTTGTTTTATAAATGTTTCCAATAATATATTGGTTGATAAAAACGTATTATATTTATAATTATGAGTGAAAAAATTGGAAATAAAATATTTAATTACTTGATTGGTTTTCCAATAAATAAATTAAATGATAACAAATTACCTACATATCGGGATGTCATTAATCTTTTTATCTACAAGCACAAAATATTAAATTTTACAATCAGACAAAGCCCAACAGAAACTATTTGCGAATTGAATGATGTTTGGTGTAAATTTTTGATTCCTACTAATCGCTCACAATATAATATCAAAAAATCTGATGTGTCCAACACATGACTTTCCTATCTACTTATTACAGGCTTTTTCCGTTTATTGTGTACAACCTATTTGCAGCATCTCTATAAATGTTTAGAGGATAAACTAAATATATACATTGTCCACATACATCTACCGCGAAACATTTTTCTATAGATATTCATTGAAAATGAAAATACTGAAAAATTTAAATTTAGCACTTTTCCTACAATTTTTCCATTACGGTCCATTTAAAAAAAATCATGTATGAACAAATATTATAGGGATCGATATCGCAAACAACTTTTATTTCAACAATTTTCATAAAAATCAGAATTTTGCACATTTTGTCAAATTTCTCGAATATGGACCATTTCAAGAAATTTTTACATAAGACAAAAATTATAGATAATAATATAAGAAGTAACTTTTATTTAAACAATTTTCTTCTCCAAACATAAATAACAGATATATTCCATAAAATATATAAACGGCCTCCCATAAAGTACCCCCAAGATGTTCCGACTTTGTCCAAAATCTAATCATTTCACGTCAGGCCGAAATAAAACTTAAGTTTAAAATTTATTGATTTTTTCTTTATCCGTTTTTGAGTTTTCTTCAAATTTCGAAATTTACACATTTTCTCAAATACCTCGAATACGGTCCATTTTAGAGAAATTATCTATGGGACAAAAATTATAGAGAATTATATTAAAAACAACTTTTGTTTGAACAATTTTTATAAAAAAAATATTTTTTTACATTTTGTCGAATTTCTCGATTACGGGCCATTTTAGGAAAATTTTGTAAATTACAAAAATTATAGATAATAAAATAAGAAGTAACTTTTATTTAAAAAATTTTCTTCCCCAAACGTAAATAACAGATATATTCCATAAAATATAAAAATGACCACCCATAAAGTACCCCCCAGATGTTCCGACTCGGCCCAAAATCTAAGCAGCTCATTAGACGCTGGAATAAAGCTTAAGTTTGAAATTTGGTGTGTTTGCGTGTATCGGTTCATGAGTTACACACACACACACACACACACACACACACACACACACACACACACACACACACACACACACACACACACACACACACACACACACACACACACACACACACACACACACACACACACACACACACACACACACACACACACACACACACACACACACACACACACACACACACACACACACACACACACACACACACACACACACACACACACACACACACACACACACACACACACACACACACACACACACACACACACACACACACACACACACACACACACACACACACACACACACACACACACACACACACACACACACACACACACACACACACACACACACACACACACACACACACACACACACACACACACACACACACACACACACACACACACACACACACACACACACACACACACACACACACACACACACACACACACACACACACACACACACACACACACACACACACACACACACACACACACACACACACACACACACACACACACACACACACACACACACACACACACACACACACACACACACACACACACACACACACACACACACACACACACACACACACACACACACACACACACACACACACACACACACACACACACACACACACACACACACACACACACACACACACACACACACACACACACACACACACACACACACACACACACACACACACACACACACACACACACACACACACACACACACACACACACACACACACACACACACACACACACACACACACACACACACACACACACACACACACACACACACACACACACACACACACACACACACACACACACACACACACACACACACACACACACACACACACACACACACACACACACACACACACACACACACACACACACACACACACACACACACACACACACACACACACACACACACACACACACACACACACACACACACACACACACACACACACACACACACACACACACACACACACACACACACACACACACACACACACACACACACACACACACACACACACACACACACACACACACACACACACACACACACACACACACACACACACACACACACACACACACACACACACACACACACACACACACACACACACACACACACACACACACACACACACACACACACACACACACACACACACACACACACACACACACACACACACACACACACACACACACACACACACACACACACACACACACACACACACACACACACACACACACACACACACACACACACACACACACACACACACAGACATCATCGCGAAAATAGTCAAAACGGATTCAGGGGACCTCAAAACGTAAAAATATTGTTGAATTAATTAAAGAACAATTAAATTTTCCGAAATGTCTAACTCTGCACTGGGATGGGAAATTACTTCCGACCAATTCTTCGACATCTAAAGTAGAGAAACTTCCAATTTTAGTCACAGGCATTGATACTGAAATATTGCTGGATGCACCAATACTTCAGGAATCGACCGGTGTTGAACATGATGTTAATACCGGTAATTTGAAATTCTCTATTTTTACTCGATTTAAGATTTACTATTTCAATTTTATCAATATCATATTTAATTTATCTCTTTGATTTAAAATTCTCAGGCTTTATGAACGGCACTTGTACATTATTAACGGAAAAATTGGGAAGAGAGGTATTATATTTTGCTTGTCGTCACCACACACATGAAATAATGTTAAGAAAAGTTGTAGAAACTGCTTGGCCTGCAACAAACAGTCCAAATGTGCCAATCTTTAAACGATTTCAAACTGCGTGGGAAAAAATTGACAAATCAAAGTATAAAATTGGTATTGAAGATGAAAATATCAAAACAACTTTGATTGAAATAAAAAATGAAAAAGTTATTTTTCTCGACAACCAGCTTAAGGTAAATTGCCAAAAAAGTTAATTATTTGGAAATCAATTTAACAACGTCGTACTATTTAAAATATAATGAAACTCGGATAAAAATTGATTATTTTTAATGTATTAATAAATTCAAATTTATTAGAAAATATAATAAACATTTGATTGAATTTTATCATAATAGATCTTTAAATTTGTAAAAGTCAACTTCAATTAAATAAACCTATAATACATTTAATTTGTTTACTCCATTAGTTGAACCATTCAAGAGATGACTACAAGGAACTATTGGTGCTTTGCAAAATCTTTCTCGGTGCTGTGCCAAGTAGTGAAGTGAAATTCCGAGCTCCTGGTGCAATGCACCATGCCAGGTGGCTTTCAAAAGCTCTTTACAGCTTCAAAATGTACATGTTTAGAAGTGAATTCAAGATGAGACCTTCAGAAATTTCTTCTTTGCGCCAAATTTGTTGTTTTCTTACATTGTTTTATGTTGAAGCGTCGTTTGAAGCACCCTGTGCGATTAAAGCTCCCAATAATGACCTCGAACTATTTAAAAAACTGCTTAAATATAAACAAATGCAACCTAAAATTGCGGCAGCTGCTCTTGAGAAGTTAAGTTTGCATCTTTTGTATCTACATAAAGAACTGGTGTGCTTGGCTCTGTTTGACTCTAATGTGACACGAGAACAAAAATTAAAAATCGTAAACTCCATCAAATCTAATAAATCATTCGATATAAAAGGTAAACGTCCTCAAATAACGCAAGGATCATTTGATACATTAGCAAAGAGAGAAATTTGTGATTTTGCAAGCGAAAAGTCAGTTTTCCTTTTCAAAGCATTCCAACTACCGTACGAGTTTATTTATAATGATCCTGATAGTTGGGAATCCAATAAGAACTATAACGAATGTTTAAAGACGTTTTCATCGTTGAAAGTGGTAAACGATGTTGCTGAGAGAGGTAGGTGTAGCTTTAGCCGAAAAATATAATGATTGTTTACCGCTCAATGAAGAGGAGAAAAAAAATATTCTGCAAGTTGTTCATAACCACAGAAAAATTATCCGAATTGTAAAAAAAGTTAACTACTCAATAAATGTAAAATTTCACTATAAATTTAGTATTTATCTGATCATCCAAATTGAAATCTGTTATAAGTTACATTTTTAATATTTGAATATCTGGAGTCTTTGGTATGAATGTATATTTTGCTTTTCATGATAGTAAACAAAAATTATACACAATAATTAGTTTGGTAAAGTTAACTAAATATGGAATTTTAATTTTTTCCATGTTAATTGTGTTAAATTTAAGTAATCAATTGATATATAGTAACATATACATAATTTTCAATAAAACGTATTTTTTCTTTGTTTTTGGTTATTAAATTGCTTATATCTCTTAAACAAAGCACTTTAGTGATATGAACGTGACAGCCTTTTTTGTCAAAAATTTAATTTCTTTCAACTTTTTCCTTGGTTAAACCTTTTTTGGTTAAACCAGTCATTCACTCGATTTTCTCAAAAATATGGGAAAAAAAGTGAAAATACGACTTTTGGAGCAACTACAATCAACGTAAATAAATCAAAAACAAAATTGATGCAGGGCCTTTTAAAAACCGTGAATACTATGCAGGAAATTTTAGTGATAAAAATTATAATTCAAAACCCGGCCAAAATATAGAAATTTAAAGTAAAAATGATTAAAAATACATGCTTTTTATATGGAAAAACTACAAAATTAAAAAGGAAGTACTTATAATCAAAATTAAGGGCTCAAATTTTCAGGGATTTTTTTTTCGACCTAAAAAACAAAATTTTCATGTGTCAGCAAGAAAAAAATTTTTTTCGTTTAAATGAAACACCCTAATAAGCACTGTAGATGACAAATACAAAATATCTTAAGAGTACTTCTCCAGTACTAAATTGATAAGATTGTTGTGTGCTTCTAAAGCACTTTTCCAGAATTTACAAGTGACGGGAATTGTATGCCAGAAAAACGTCGGCCGCCTGGACGCGGGGATGTAGACTGTATGATCTGCCACAAATGTTTTGCCATTACTTCAAGTACTGTTCGCATGTATTATGCCAGTATTGGGCCGTTAATCTGAGTTTGCTGGGTATATGGGTATTGTCACTTATAGCATCAATATTTTAATGAGACCTATAAACAGATTGAAGAAAAAATCATTGAAATGAAGTTCTGCCATTCTTTGATTTATAATTGAATGTTATAAAGTAATAACTTTTTTTTTTTAATGAAATCTATTTTGGTATCTGTAAAATATTTCAACAATATTTCTAATGTATTCTGTCTATTATGTTACCATTACCATTACTCTAATGTTTCTTGTGTGAGTTAGCCAATTTTGTTTACCACATACTTTGTTCGTCTTATTCTGTTCAAACTAATTAAACAGGTTTGATCATCATATAAATCGTGAGCACAAAATAGGATTCCAATTATTACATAACAAGAAATAAAAATTAGGTACAAGCACCATCTATCATTATATTCATAAAACCCCCATCCATCCACGTTCAACCCTTTGGGGCAACAAGAATCAATTCATCATTGACAAAGTACAGCTCTTATCTTTTTCAGATTGACGCAGCCAGGGCCGAGAGCCAGTCATCCTCCGATTCCAATTTTCCATTTTCCATTCTTAGAGTGTTTGTCATTACAAGTGTTTTCCCAGTCAAAAACAAATCAACCGTCTAGGGTAAAGGGGACTACGATGGAGGAACGAATAATGTACACTACAAAAAAGATACCTACCTACTTGGTAAAAAATGAGAATTATAGTAAGTTTTTTCTTGTGAAGGTGAAAATCCTTTAGGTATTGGTGGTAGTGTGGTATTCTTCCGAAAGGTCTACCCACTAAAACACTTTCTTGCTCTAACTAGTTCTTTCTGGTATCTCTTTGGACATTTCATCAAGAGGAAGGAGCAGTGTTTGATGTTTTAAAAAAAATTAATTATAATAAGTAGAATGACGTTTTACGTTTGGCCGCCTTGTAGATTATTATTGTGTAGAAGCAGAAATCAGATACAAGTTTGTGGCTCAACTAAATGTTTATAAATAATTACATTTATATTGAAAATAAACGTATTTGGTTTAATATTTTAGTTATCACTAAAATGCTTTGAATATGTTTATACCACAAATAAAACACATAATTTCTAAGTATGTAATAATTCAACTAAAATGTAATGGTTTGACCATTTTCTATAAATACGGAATATTTCTTATAAAATTTACTATTACAAAAAGTACACAATCACAATTCAGAAACAATAAAATAAAATAAAATAAATAAATATTTCTTGATTATAAATAAATTGAAATTGAAAATAAATGTGTATGGTTAACTAGAATTATAATTTTCTACTATTAAAAATATCTGACTGAACCATTTATTTGTTAACTATAAATTACTCTGCATCGTTACTATACTTAGTTATAAAATCGTATCAGTAGGGTTTGAAATGTAAATACTATATTAATTTTTGTTATACCCAAAAAAATAGGCTAATCCGTTAATCATAGATTCCTTAGGTCAGTGTAAAATACCTATATTATTATTTTTATCGATTGGGGCCATTATGTTCAATATACAGTGTGACAAAGTTAATTTAAAAAAATATGTTTTTCAATATATTTTCGTTTTATTAAGTAGATTGGCTTAAAGTTGGCACACCGGGTTTTTGGGATAACAAATTATAATTTAAGCCTAAATATCACCTACTTCATAGAGGGTGTTAGTTGCAAATATATTGAACATGATGGCCCAAATCAAAAATAATAATATTAGAGGACTTTTACACTCACCTTAGGAATCTACAGTTAACAGATTGGTCTACTTTTTTGTATAGTGTAGCTAACATTTACATATTTGATGATTAATAGATCAATTTATTTGTAATGGGTATATAGGTATTAGTGAAATATACGAACGTAAAATATGACCCCCCCTACTAACTTCTGTAATGTAAAATATTCGGAAAAAACTCTAAATGTATTGATTTCCAGAGGAAAACTACAAATTGTAAATATACAGACATTGGCAGGCAGATGTTTTAACCGATCTGGACGTATTGTATTCAGTTTTCGGACACAGTAAAAGTTATTTCCAAGTTATTCATCGTTTCCAAAATGAAGTATTACACTGTCGATGCACCCTTGTACTGCCGAATTACTGATCTCTATAAAGACCGTGAGGTGGAGACTGTTGAAATGAAAATAACACCATTTTTCAGTAGTCACGAACAACGACTGCTTCAACATGGAATCGTTTAGGATATCCAGCTTTTTAACAACGCCAATCTAGTAAGAAAACTAAAAAAAAAAACAAAAAAAAGAAACAAAAAAACAATAAAAAACAAAAAAAACAAAAACAATAAAAAAACAAAAAAAAACCAATCCTTTTGATTTCTGAGTAGGACCATATTTATTGAATATTCACCCCTTCATAAATGTATCTAGTTTAGAATACTATATCTTATTGATCAGATTCACTTAGGGTATTTATTAATTAAATGGAAATAGGAAATATGGTAAAACTGAAATAAGTGCAATTTAACATAAAATTTATTTAAAAACTATCCATTCTACATACATCTTATATTTGATCTAGTGCGAGTAGTTCCAAATTCTTTACTTTCATTTGTTAAAACTTTTCATTTTTTTTTAATTACATCTTAATTTTAATTTTTTTTAGTGTAGCGAATATGTTTGAGACTTTTCGCGATAGCCGTAATGATATTGTTTTTATTGTGATTACGACGAGGTCGAGTCGAGTCGGTGCATCGCAGCAGGCTGGCCTGGAGCGTTGCTCATTAGAACACACTTCATCGCAGCGGGCACAGAGAACTCTTCAATTGTCTCAAACACTGACTCGAGCTTGAAGAGTTCGAGTTCGCCTCTCGTGGTCCTCTTCGACTCTTCTTTTTGTGCTTTGCACGGCGATGAATTGCTGCTGCCGTGCTGTGTGTCACACACGTTTTATGACGATTGTTTTCTATACTTCCTTTTGTTATGGTATAAATATTGTCTTCTCATCTACGAGGTATGGATTGCTCGAAGATAAAGATGATGATGAAATTGTCACCGAGTATCAAACAATAGAAGGAATAATAAAGGCTTATTTAACATCATATTATCAAGAATTATCGAAACAATATGAAATACCGGACAAATAAATACATTAGACTATATGGAATAGGAAACTCCAACAGCTACATTGAACGAATAAAAATAATCGATTGGGTCATGAAGAGAATTAGGAACAGTCATTTGGTAGTTTTACCTAGAAAGTTTTCCGACAGTTATGAAAATGTGTAATTTAATAGATTTCGATGTGCTCTTTTCGAATTTCAACTTTGCCGTTTGCGCCGCCATATTGAAAAATCTGATGTGTCCAACACATGACTTTCCTATCTAGTAATTACAGGCTTTTTCCGTTTATTGTGTACAACCTATTGCAGCATCTCTATAAATGTTTAGAGGATAAACTAAATATATATACATTGTCCACATACATCTACCGCGAAACATTTTTCTATAGATATTCATTGAAAATGAAAATACTGAAAAATTTAAATTTAGCACTTTTCCTACAATTTTTCCATTACGATCCATTTGAAAAAAATCATGTATGAACAAATTTTATAGAGATCGATATCGCAAACAACTTTTATTTCAACAATTTTCATAAAAATCAGAATTTTGCACATTTTGTCAAATTTCTCGAATACGGACCATTTCAGGAAATTTTTACATAAGGCAAAAATTATAGATAATAATATTAGAAGTAACTTTTATTTGAACAATTTTCTTCCCCAAACGTAAATAACAGATATATTCCATAAAATATATAAACGGCCTCCCATAAAGTACCCCCCCAGATGTTCCGACTTTGTCCAAAATCTAATCATTTCACGTCAGGCCGAAATAAAACTTAAGTTTAAAATTTATTGATTTTTTCTTTATCCGTTTTTGAGTTTTCTTCAAATTTCAAAATTTACACATTTTCTCAAATATCTCGAATACGGTCCATTTTAGAGAAATTATCTATGGGACAAAAATTATAGAGAATTATATTACAAACAACTTTTGTTTGAACAATTTTTATAAAAAAATTTTTTTTTTACATTTTGTCAAATTTCTCGAATACGGACCATTTTAGGAAAATTTTGTAAATGACAAAAATTATAGATAATAAAATAATAAGTAACTTTTATTTAAAAAATTTTCTTCCCCAAACGTAAATAACAGATATATTCCATAAAATATAAAAATGACCACCTATAAAGTACCCCCCAGATGTTCCGACTCTGCCCAAAATCTAATCAGCTCATTAGACGCTGGAATAAAGCTTAAGTTTGAAATTTGGTGTTTTTCCGTGTATCGGTTCATGAGTTATGCGTTATACAGACACACACACAGACACACAGACACACAGACACACACACACACAGACATCATCGCGAAAATAGTCAAAACGGATTCAGGGGACCTCAAAACGTAAAAATCCGTCGAAAACTCGAGGTCGAAAAAAATCATGATTCCTATACTTTCCTTATATCTGTATACAGATAGGAAAGTAAAAAATGACGCCTAAAAGCAGTTTTTTGACAATATATCTGTAAAGACTCATTTCACAATAAAAACATTTATATACCAAATAAATTTAGATAAACTTATTCCATATCATCCGCGATGGAATTATCAGTTTTATCGCAATCCTCTTTTTTTCAATTGCATCATACGTTTGCTTAAAAATAGTCTCCGTTTCTTCTTGTTCATCACTATCTTGTAATGGAACTTGCGAGTTATTACAGGTACCACTACAATTTTTGTATATAATGGGACACTTTAATTCAGCCTTTTAATATTAAATTTACTTTTATATGCTGATATTGTGAAACATGCCTCCCATCGCGGATGATGTGAAAGAAATTTCGGTACGTGCGTTTCGATCGGTACTAAAGGCAATAAACTCGCAACAGCTAGTCCATCAAGAACAGCGAGGTGAAGGAGAATGCCTTAAATTTTAGACAAGTGGATTAGGCCTACTGGCGATGCCATGATTTAAAAACGAGCTGATTACTCTACCTCAAGGTGGTGTAAAAAGAAGCTTTTTGTCCAAAACGCGTGTTGAACCACACTTTGCGGCTCTCGTACGCCAAAACTATTGATTTTACGTAAATTGTAAATTGTAGGAAATTTTTTTTAGTTTAATTTTGTATGTAAATGTTTTTATCGTGAAATGAGTATTTCCACATATATTGTCAAAAAACTAATTTTCGGCGCCATAGAACCAAATGACTGTACTAAATGGGCGCTCAATCAGAAATTTAAATATATTCGATAAAATCCATCATTACAGCTAGATTATGTTATGAAAAACTGGGAAACTACGCAATTCAATTTCCTAAACAAAAAAAAAAAAAAACAAAAACTTGAAAACGTTGATTTGGACATAAAACAAATTGATGAATCTATCATCATTTTTGGGTCTACAAATCTACTAAGACACAACTTAAAAACAAAATTATACAGGGTTTACGATAAATAAATGACTAAAAGGTGAATGGGCAGTTTTGCCCCACCTCCCAATAGAAGTAAGATATATACCAAATAATAGATATCGGTAAGGAGAACATTTGTTTTTATTATAACTTCTATCAATTGTCTGTCCGTTCTGAGTTATACAGTGTGTACTTAAGTTGAAAACATATGGAAAACATTTTTATTATTGGTTTTGTGAAAATTATTCTTGATAAAAAGTTCTGCATGATCCAAAACTTAAAATACAACCATCAGATATCAAATTTTTTAAAACGTGTAATAGGTTTGTCAAAAAATATGAATTTTACTAAAGAGTGTCCCTTATTTTTCACAATACAAAAGAATGTTATAAAGTAAACTTATTTTGAATTAAAAGTTATGTTATATTTAAATATGCAATTACAGTAATTTAGCATAAAAATTTAGGTTAGGTGATTATTTACGTTTTACATTATACATTATTTGTCATCAAACCTGAATTTTAATGTTAAATGGCTATAATTGCATATTTAAATATAACTTTTAATTCAAAACAACTTTACTTTATAACATTCTTCTGTATTGTAAAAAATAAACGTAGAGGAGAAGGTACAAATATGGGCTACCATTTGGTTTAATTATCTGACACATTTTTAGTGTAATTTACGTTTTTTCTTTTTACAAGTGAACTAGAACCTTTTATTAACATTATGCGGTCCGTTTTTGTTCTTTTTGCGGAAGCTTTTCTAAAATTTTATTTTTTTCAAATAAGAGTGACATAATAAAGGCTACAAAGTGATACAAATATAGGCTACAAATATTAACTTAAACGTTTTATTCAAAGGCTAAATTGGAAAAAAAAAACGGGAGCAATTATAAAAGTAACACACTACTAATCAGTGAGACAAAAGTCACAAACATAGTCATCTCTGTCAGCTCCGGCACAGTCCACATGGCACCATAAACTGCACATTAAACACTGAACCCAGAGTTCACCTTTGCGGTCTTCAGAAAATCTACTTTCGCAGAATATGCATTCCGCATCTAAATCATCTGGTTTCTTTTGTCCAGGCATATCATCTATATCTAAATCGTTTTTCGCTGGCGTAAAATGTGTTTCGTCGTCTTCACCTTCAGACTCTTCTATCGACTGCTGATTTTTATTCTTCTTTGATGCTTTGGACATCAAGATCTTTTCGGCTGATTGAGAAAATACTTTTTTTTTTAACCTGGTTAACATTTTGCTTATTTTTATTGGTAGTGCTCAACAATAATTCATCTTTATAAGGGAAGGAAGTAATTACCGCTGCTTGCGATGCTTTCCTACCCCTATTAGTTGTTTTCTTTTTAGATATCGGAACTGGCGAAACATTAAAGGGTAACAACATTTTTCTTGGCATTCCAGATGGTCCAGGTTGAGCGTTGTCCTGATTGGGTGTCTCTATATTCGATTGAGATGTTCTTGGTGTAGTCATTCTTTCAGAAGCTGAATCGGACAAAATATTTGTGGTGACACTCAATTCACTTTCAGCGGTGCAGTGTTCTTTTTCTGCTTCTATTTCTGCAGCAAGAAAGTCCGCTTTTAAAAAAATATTTTTATTCAACAGAAAAATTCCAGTAGCGTGGAATCCATTTACTGCAATTTCTCCAGTCTGGGGTTTGAGATGGGCCTTTTTAAAAGTTTGCCAATGTCATATTGAGATAAGGGACGATGATTGTGGCGAATACATTGTCTAATATTCTCACTGCAGTAAGCCTTTAACGCACCCATGAAAGTTTTGTCAAGAAGATGTAGTTTATGTGTGGAATGAGGGGGTAATGAGATTATTACCACGTGATTTTCTCTAGCCGTATTGACTTCTAGGTTACGTGTATGACTATAATGCCCATCTAAAATTAGAAGAACAAGCGAAGTTGCAGACGGTTTTACAGTGTCAATGATATGTCTGAACCACTGAGCGAATGACGTAGCCTGAACCCATCCACTAGGGTAAACTGCTGATATTGATCCTGGAGGGGTGCCTTTCATTAGTTGAATATTCATATATTTTCTAGGAAATATGAGCATCGGTGGTACAAAATCTCCCCGGCACTCATGCAGGCTATTAAAGTGATTAAAGAACCCCGCTCCAATGAAGTCAAAGAGGCACTTGATCTTTTTCCTTTACGACCGACTACTTCAGCGACCTTATTTTGCACAACAGTCAGACCGGTCTCATCCACATTATACATGCGATTAGCTGGAAATGTGTATTTTTCATACGCTTCCTGCAAAAGCGTAAAAAAGTTGTCAACACTTTCTTTGTTAAACCCTTTGGCGCGAGCGAAAGATGCCCCAGTGGGTTTTCTAACTGAC